CGAATCCTGCAAACCGATTGGCAGGTTACAACGTCACGTATATTTAAATTCTCATTTTTTTTATGAAATCTGAGTTGCGAAAATTCCCATCAGGGAATTCAGAAGTCTAGTTTGGCGAGTATACGTGTACTTTCAACAAACTGCTCCATCAAACACTACCCTCACAACCAGCCTTCGCTTATTGACCCCACTCCTATTCCCACGACTCGCTTGTCCGAAAAGACGAACACGTCTGAACTTGCACCTAGTTTCCATATAAATGTAAAGCCTGACGTGAATTTGTCGAAAGTACACGTATACTCCCCAAACTAGAATTCTGAAATCTGAATTTTTAAAGCCTTTTTGGTAGAAGTTTAATTCGGGGCCCAGAACAACACGCCCAAACTCCATCCCTGTGTAATACTAGACAGAATAAACGTGGAGCGTATAAAAGCAGAAAAAAATAGGAATAATAATTTAAGTAATCTAGTGTTGGCAACAAAAAAGCATGCCATAGACAAAATGTGCAATTACGTAACTATCGAGATTGCTCAAATTTGTGGAACAATACAAAGAACTGCGAATTTCCAAGATTAAAGTAAATTTAACCAAAAAATAAAATAAAAAGCGTTTGTCACTACTAAATCTGAAACTTAACTAAACTAGAGTCGACTAACTAAATAAAGGTAAAATAAGTAATCTAAACCTAAAATAAACTAATGAAACGTAATGAACTAAAAACTGAACTAAAGTATTAATAAGTTAAATAAATGCAAACTACATAGAGTCAGGTAAAGTGAACTAGTGAAGATTTAAATTCCAAAACTGCCGCATTCGACTAATAAATCTTAAACTTAACTAAACAAAAATTTAAATAAACTAACTAAACCAAGTTTAACTAAAATAAACTATACTATCTAAACTAAAAAATAAATCTAAAACTAAAAGATAAAAGTATAAAAACCAAATAATAAACTAAAAACAAAACTAGGACCAAACAGAAAAAACTATATACTGTAAATAAACTAATTATGGCACGCTTTTTAATGTCAAATATTATATTATTTAAAAACTTAAGCTCTAAATTAAACTTCCACTGCATTTTTAATGCGCACTTGAGGCATGCTTACATCTGGATATAAAACGAAATCACACTTCGTCCACTGTCAGTCATCTTGACCTAACATTGATCTCTCACCGCCCCCCTCCATGGAACACCGCCTGTGTGGCAACAGGAGAGAGTAGCTTAGGTATTGCATAGGTCTCAACCAATCCGCAAACTCGTAGATAACCACAGTTTGCCTGGGGCCACAGTTCTTCCTTCCCAAGGTCCGGTTACGGCCAGTAAGACGAACAAGCCA